CGCTCTCGGCCCTGGCGCCGGGCAGCAGGAGACCTTGGCTGGCTCTGCACCTTGCCTGGGCCAGGGCACCGTGCCGCCCACCATCCAGCACCCGCCAGCGGCCCCCCACCGTTCTCCTCCCAGGATATAGGGAGCCGCCAGGCGTAGAGCCGGACGCCTTGCAGAAGCAGGCTGACCACTGCAATGACCGGCGCATGGCGTCCAAGCGCGTGCAGGAGCTCAGCACCAGCCTCTTCTTCGCCGTCCTGGTCAAGGTGAGGCCACCGCCCCTCCGCCCCGCCCCTCCTCCCATCCGCCCCACCTCCTCTCCTGAGCACCTGCTCACAAAGAGCCTTCAGCGGCAGGGGTGGGCCCCGGGGATGCCCCCTCCCATGGCCACGCCTTGGCTGGAGCCCTGCCCTTCAGGAGAGTGGTCCCCTGGAGTCGGAAGCCATGGTGCTGGGCGTCCTGAACCAAGCCTTCGACGTGCTGGTGCTGCGCTACGGGGTGCAGAAGCGCATCTACTGTAACGTGAGTGCGCCTGCGCCGCTGGGCCCCCCAGACACCGGGCTGCATCCGCTTAGCGCTCCACTGTCACCTGCCTGCTCTGCTCCTCCTGCGGTCTCCTTCGCATTTCTGTAGCGTCTAGTGGGCAGGAGCTTAGGCCGAGGACTCTGCTGTCCCTGTCCTCACTGGAGGACCCAGGCTATGGGGATGGCAATGCACTGCGCCCCTCGCTCAGGTGTGGGCCGTCCTGGGACACAGTGGCAGAGAGTGTGGAGCCCCAGACCTTGCTCCCCTCTCCACCCAGCACCAGGCCCACCCAACGGGCCCTGCCAAGACACCGAACTGTGCCTGCCTGGGATGGGGGATGCAGGCCGAGGGTCAGGCTCAGGCCTCTTCTCCAAGGACCCAGGCGGCAGGAGAGCAGGCCCCTCCCTAACCGGTACAGGATAGCAGGGTACGCAGGCTCTGCGAGACTTGTTTATGGGAACACGGAAGGAGGAAAGACCAGAAAGAATGGTCCATGGCCACCCTGGAAATGATGTCCCCTAGAGAAGAGGAGGAGACCAGGCTTTGCCTTGGGTCCTGCCCCTGGTGGCTGTTTATTCCAGGGTTTTTTCGGAGATACTTGGTGCCTGTCTAAGGCTACCTGAGGGACCTGTTTCAGCTGACCTTGTGGTTAGCAGGTCACCACCTGGCCCCCAACCCTGGCTGTGAATTTCCCAATGTCTAAAGCACTTTGGGGAGTGCAGAGCCCAGCAGTGGCGTGGAATAAACACGACATTCACAAAGTGGAGTAGAGCAGAAGAGACAGAACGCAGCCCGCTGCCATCAGGCAGGGCTCTCATCCTGTAGTTTTGAAGTTCATTGAGCAGGAAGAGAGTTCAGGTCTAGGTCATCTCTGCAGACAGCCCAGCCGACAGTCTCCGCTAACAGACCCAGCGCCAGCAGGGGGCGGCAGCCCTCCAGCCTCAGCCTCCTGAGCTACCAACGGCCCACCACCTCCTCCTAGTGACACACAGAGCCAAGGGCCTGGTGCTGCCCCAGCCAAAGATGGCCTGGCAGGGCTGGGGGTAGTCCCCCCCACCCCGAAAGTCAAGCGGCCAGCTGCTGGACCCGGCGGCAGGGCAGGTGGCGCTCCCTAGAGGCCAGTCACAGGTGGGCCAAGGCAGGGGGCTGCTTCCAAGCATTAGGGTCTTGCAGGCTTGAAGTCAGGAGGCAGCAGCCAGAACCCAGGGCCTGAGACCCCGGTGTGTGCGCCCCCAGGCCCTGCCACTGCGGTCCCACCGCTTCCAGAAGGTGGGCAAGAAGCCAGAGCTCATGCTCGTCTGGGAGCCAGAGACCCTGGAGCAGGAGCCGGTGCAGCAGGTCAGAAGCAGGGCTGGGGCAGCTCTCCCGGAGCACCACTGCGTCCCCGTCCATCGCGGCGAGCCCGCCTCCTGCTTCCTGGGGTACCCTCTGCATGCTGTCCCCCGTCCCCGGTCACTCAGGCCCCCTGGTGGGCCGGCACCAGCTCACCCACACCGCCTCCTATGGGCCTTTCTGGCACCAGTTTCCCTCCCTTGGGGACGCCTGCTGTGGGGAGTAGCTGGGGGCTCTGCCTGTTTCTCTAAAGCAGGGTTCTTAGATTTGGGGGTCCTTTTGGGAATATGATAAAAGCTATGGACCTTCTTCCCAAGAAATTCTGTATAACAGTGTTTACCTACCACATGCTCAAAGGCCGGCCCAGACCCAGCTGTCCCGTGACACTGAGTGCTGGCCCCAGACTGGCCACCGAGATCCCATGGCCTCAGTACTTGAGTGGTCCCGGGGCCCCAGCTGGGCAGACGGTGGCAGAGCTGGCCCCTGTCCCTCCTGTCTCCTGGGCGGCCCCTCGAGAATCACCCATGTCACCGTGCTGGGCTCTGCTCTGTCACAGGTCATCACCATCTTCAGCCTGGTGGAGGTGGTGCTGCGGGCAGAAACTGCAGCCCTCAAGTACAGTGCCATCCTGAAGCATCCGGGCACCGAGGGCCTCCTGGGCCCACAAGACAGAGAGGGGCATGACCACGAGGACGAGCAGGAGGACTGAGGCCACCAGCCCAGCCCCACCCCCCCACCTGCCCCACCCGCTGGCTTTTAGGAACAGGACCTTTGGACACCAAAGGGGATTTTTAATTTGGTTTTTAACAACTCAGGGTTTTGTTTTTATTTTTTCATTCTACTTTATTTTTGCAGCTCAGTTTTTAAATGAACTGGAGGGGAAGAGAGTGGGTCTGGATGGGAGGCTGAGGCCTGGCCAGCGCTTACCTGAGCAGAGTAGTTCCCGGTCCTCCTGGGAGGCCAGCCCCGCTTCTGCCAGGCCACTCACTGCCTTCCCCTTACCAGGAAAGGGGGTTTTTAGCAAATCAGTGTCATGGAATAAAATCAAGTGTGAAGTGCAGTCTGGTGTGCAAGGCACACTGGGAGGCGGGGGCGGTGTGCAGGGCACGCTGGGAGGCGGGGGCGGTGTGCAGGGCACGCTGGGAGGCGGGGGCGGTGTGCAGGGCATGCTGGGAGGCGGGGCGGTGTGCAGGGCATGCTGGGAGGCGGGGGCGGCAGCCTGCCGCTGGGGCTGCTGACCAGCGAGGGCCCTGACTCAGGCTCCACCCCTTACAGCTGAGCTGGGGTTACCACCCTCTGGAACCTTCCTATCAGTTTCAGGATGATTCACAGAGCTGGCCACATGGCAGATTGATGCCAGTGCCTCGTTCTTGCTGATTAGAAATGTAATTAGTATGCAAGACAGCAAGCTTACCCATCACCCTGCCGCTTACGCCTGCTGTGTCCATCCCTGCCGCCACCATTTCCCTTCTTCCCACCATCCCCACTTGGCTTCCGAGAGGGGTCATGGGTCCTGTAACACCCCCTCCCCTGTTTCTAGGCCAGAGCTCCAAGTGACCCTGTTCACTTCCTTTGGTTCAAGCCAGTGCCTCGGCCCCGTCAATCCCAGTCCTGCACCCTGACAGCCTCCAGGGAGCATGGAGACAGAGGGAGGCCAGGGGCGAGAAGGGCCCTCACGCTGGCCTTCCTGACCAGGGAGGGGAAAATGAGCTCCTGGTGGCCCAGCCTGGCCTAGTCACCTGTCCAGCATCCACTGATCCCATCCTCCTCAGGGACACTGGGACAGATCAGGTGGGCCATGGCACCGTGCTCTCTCCCGCTGGCCTGACCTCAGCCTGCACTCCTACGCCACCAACCTGGGGGGGCCTCAGGTTGGCTTCCCCAGGAGCTGCTGGAAGCTAGAGTGGAAACCGTGCAAACCATGGCCCGGCCCCCCACGCTGTTCTCTGGGGTGTTGTTATCACAGCTCATTTGACCCGGCTGTGGTGTTTCCTTCAAAGAAAGACTCGGTGCAGCACGTTGTGAGAGGGCCTCGCGGGGCCGGGGGATGTGACCGGGCTTGGCTGCTTTTGTCTGCCATCAGCAGGTCGCGGTTGCTTGTCCGCCCAGCACTGGCCTGGGTGCCAGAGGGGAGCAAAGGACACCTCCTCTTACCTGCCCCCAGTCCCTGCCTCCTCTGACACCTCTGTCAGCCTTTAGTCTGTGCACCCCGCGCCTGCCACGATGTCTCAGGGGCCCCCATCCCCTTTCTGCCACTGTCCCAAGAGCCTTCTCCTAGAGCCGAGTACCTGGAAGGGAAGAGAGGTGAGCATCTGATGGCTTGGCGTTTGGATGAAGTGGTTTCCGGGGGCTTCCCTGGCCTGGGTAGCTGGCCGGTGAGAGCACAGGGGTGTGACATCCCAGCCCTGTCCGTGTCCCCTCAACTGCTCCACCCTCTGGGGAGGAGTGGCTCTCTTCTGTGGTGCTGTCCCCCAGGGCCTTCCACAGGGCCTGTGGCTGGAGCTCCCTCTTGTACAATGTGGATCCAGACCAGTCATCCCTCCTACTGCCCAGCGCCCCCACCCCAGCCTCCACAGAGGAGTGTAGCCAGCTTGGTCAGCAGGGCGGATCTTTGTGGCCTGGACTTGCTTGGGAGGCAGTGCTGGCCTCACCCTGATGCCACCTAGAGCCACGGGGGCCACAGCAGCCCCACCCACCCCACTGGAGTGGACGCTGCATCCAGAAAGGAGGCAGGTCTCTGGCCCGGGAGACACAGCCGGGACCAGGGCTCGGGCACCTGCCCTCCGCCACACGCCGCGCCTCCTGTGGGCCCCGCGCTCCTCACGCGCTGCAGCCGCGTCCTCCGTCTTCACCCACGCATCCTGCAGCATTGACTCCGTCCACATGCAGGGCATGGGTGGGACACACGTCCATGGGTCCATTAAGAAAGACAGCCCCTCTGTGCCGCACGCAAAGGGCACTGTTGGCAAGCGGTGAGGAGACACAAAGCCTCAGGAAGGGAGCGTCCCAGAGCGCTGCACGCCGGTGCGGGCCGCAGGGCCACAGGGCCACAGCCAGGCAACAGAGCAAGGCTGTCTTTTCCTCAGGTGGCCACTCCAGATCACCAGGGGCGAGGGAGACGTAGACGCAGACAATGTCACCACACAGTGAGGTTCTAGCAAAGGTCAGAGGCCGGGCTGTGTTCCCAGCCATGAAGGGATGGTACCCAGAAGACGCAGGCCCCACAGGAGCAAAGGAACTGAGGCTTGAAGGTACTTGACGTGAGCCGTGAGGGTCCAAGGTCCCTAGGACCAGAGTGCCGAGAGGACATGCAAGGTGATGCTGGGAAGGTGGGAACAGTGCGCCACCTCGGAACTATGCCGGGCCGAGTGTGCGCTCTGTCCTGTGGGCAGTGCAGAGCCACTGAAGGCTTTTCATCCGGGCCTTGACACCATTTGACCTCTGTTCTTTCAACCCAGTGAGTGCCTAGATGTAGCAGGGCTCTCGGAGCTGATGGCCAGGAGGGCGGTGTCACATTTCCAGTGTGGCAGATGGTGGTGATGGCATGAACGATAAAGGAGGGGAGGGAGGCCACGCGTGGGCAGAGGCCCATGGGAACAGCCTGGTGGCTATTCACACGCACAGGCCCTGCAGGAGGCAGAGCACTGGGGTGGAATGAGCTAGAAGGAGAGCCTCGGGAGCTGAGGCAGGCTCACCTCGGCCTTTCAGATGACAGGACTTTCTTTACAGGACCCGAGCAGAGGAGGGGCGCAGGGCAGTGCCCCCGAGCTGCGTGCTGAGAACGGGCCTCGGCGCTGCACGTGGAGGCTGAGGCCGAGACCCGGGCAGGGCTGGAGGGGAGGAGCAGTGGGGGTGGTAAGAAGTTGGGGGGCAACAGTGAAGGTAAAGCTGGCAGCATTTGCCGAAGCAGCAGGTGTGGAAGTGACAGGGTGGCAGGCGGGGTCACCCTGTGCTCTGGTGTGTGGAAAGCCTGTGAGGACTCAGGAGGGAACGTCCTGTCAGGAATGAGGAAGAGCCCAGGGAGGGTGCAGGGCTTCAGGAACATTCCTGTCTCTCCATTGCAAAGGGGAAAAAAAAAACAGTTTAAAGTGGCATTAGGAGGGAGGGAGTCCATTGGGAAGCCCCCCTTGGTTGTATATGAACTTCCAAGGGAAGGTGGAAAAGCCCACCTGAGGGAGGCAGGGTGCCACCCCGCCTCCAGGTCCCCTGCGTGCGGCCATCGAGTAGCTGCAGGGCCCCTGCGCCCCTTCTCTCCTGGTGTAGAGCGCTTCCTCCACCGTGACCCGGAAACATGAGTTTCTCTATATCTTGCAACCTCCCCGCCTGGGAAGAGACTGACCCCGTGTCCCATTTCTAGTGAGGGGCGGCCCAGGGGAGACGGGGCAGTGTCCACCGCCGGCCCCATCAGAGATGACACGTCCCGGGATGGTAGCTCCTGAGGACCCGCACAGTTGGAAGGGATGGGCAAGTCCCAGAAAGAGATGGGGCCACTGGGGAGACCGCGGCAGATGCCCCCTGCCGCTGCTCTGACCACAGAGCCGTGATGGGCCACGAGGCAGGAAGCTGGAGGCCAGGTGGGAGGGGCCGTGGAAATGCGGGTGAGATGAAGGCCCGAGAGAAGGAGCACATCCAAGATGTCCGCACAGACCTGGCACAGCCGGGTGCTCAAGTCACAGACAAGGACGGGCCCCTGGCAGAGGAAGCAGGAAGAAGAGCCTGGGGGAGTGGATACCAGAAGGACAGAGGCGGGGGAGGGGCAGGAGGCAGCAAAGGCGAGAGGTTGGACTCCCAAGGACGAGGGAGCCTCAAATGCTGCTGGGAGTTCAGAGCATGGGGGCGGGATTTGGAGCGCGCCGATGACTCAGCACATGAGGAAGCAGCAGCCTCGTGACACCGAGATACAGAGCAACCCAGGTGTCCATCTGCAGGTGCACGGATAGAGAAGATGCAGCACGTGTGTGGAGTGGAATATCATTCAGCCTTTAAAAAGGACATCCACCATGTATGACAACGTGGATGAACTGGAGGGCGTTACGCTCTGTGAACTAAGCCAAGCACAGAAAGACATATTGCATGTTCTCACGTATATGTGGACTCTAAAAGCACAGAGTAGAATGGTGGTTTCCGGGGGTCCGGGAGGAGGGGAAGAATTGGGAGATGTAGGCCAGAGGGTACGGAGTTTCAGTGAATGAGTAAGTTCTGGAGGCCTCGAGTACAGCATGGTGATGTAGTTAATACTGTGTCGTAGCTTTGAAATTTGCTAAGAGCATAGATCCTAAGCGTTCTCGCCACACAAAGGCCATGATGACCGTGAGGTGACGGGTATGTTGATTAGCTTGATTGTGGGATCATTTCACTGTGTATACAAGTATCAAAACATCGAGTTATATGCCTTAAATATATACAGCTCGCATTTGTCAATGATACCTCAGTGGAGCTGCTCGCTTAATTAGAAATGGACTCCCTGTCCCCTCCCTTGAATTTGGACGGACTCTGTGGCCGCTGACAGGCAGCCGTGTGCAGTCAGTGTGCTGATTTCTAGGCCTGGAGAAACTGGCAGCCTCCTCCGGTCTCCTGGAGCACAGCCGCCATGCTGGGAGGAAGCTGACAACCTGGAGACGCCCACGCGGAGGGAAGCCGATCCGCCAGCCATGTGCGACAGCCATCGTGGGAGTGGACCCCCAGCACAGGCACCCCAGCTCAGGCCTCAGAGAGCAGGCACAGCTGTCCCCTGCAAGCCCTGCCCAAATTACTGATTCGTGACCAAATAAAGGATCTTTGTTGTTTAAGGTCGTTTGGGGTGGTTCGCTACACAATAGACAACAAGAACAGAATCTCAGTACGAAATACATGCACAGATACAGCTTAAAGTGAAAAATGAACGAGGATATGATTTCAAAACTGCTAAATGTCAAAATAAAAAGGCAAGTAGGGGGAGTGATTGCCCCTGAGATGGGAGGAGGCAGGGAGGGAGAAGGGGCTGGCCGCTTTTGTTGTCGTAACGAAGCTATGGGTCTGTTTGATACTTTAAACTACGTTTATGTATAACTTGGATAAAAA